ACACACACACACACACACACATAGAGACACACATTAGACTAGAGGAGGTAACGTAGAATCGGTAAGTAATCAGAGAGAGAGATATATAATGTTTAGAAGTAATTAGTAGCACGAGCTGTGATTTAGATACATACTCAACGCGCGAGGGCCACGATCGACCCTGGTTCACAGGCGATCGCGTGTCACGCCGTCTGTTATTCGTAAGAGAGTGAAAGCGAGACCGTTCAAACGCACGATTTTGCGAAGAATTTAACCTTCGATACACAGTCTTAGAGCCGGATCGTTATGCACGAACCTCCTTCGGATCCTATGGAAATTTCCCTTTCAGCTAGATTCCGTCGAGTCTCTGGCTCCCTCTGTCGCCTATTCTTTTTATTTTTTCCACCATACTCTGCCAATTTGGCGGGTCGTTCGAATACTGCCTGTGAGATTCCACGATGTAAAGAACCGCGCCGTTTTTTTTTCTTTCTTTCTTTTTATTTTTTATTTTTATTTTATTAATATAACAACGTTCAATTTTTTTATTCCGTCCACATTTTGGAAAACGTTTAGCGAAGTTTTTATCAAATTTGGATCAAATTTGCTCAATTTTAATAGGTTTCTCGTTTCGATTTACGAAAGAATTGGATGATTCGAGCTCGTTGAAAATCATTTCCATTGACTCTTTTCTTAGTACGCGAAATTGATTTTGAACGAAGCATATATCGATTCTTTCTCATCTCGATCAATCAGAGATATAATTATGAAAGGAAAAAGAAAGGAACGAGCTCGGTTGTCAAATAGTGATTTTTTTTCAAACTGAAAACTGCCTTTGACCTTTGAACGATTGGATTTCCCTGGTCGTATCGTTTTAAACAATGAATAATTAACGATCGGTTAATCGGCGCTGTTCCCTCAGTGTTCAAAGTCGCGATGCTCATTGTCCTTTCGTGTTCACAGCCGTGAATCCTGTTCTCCACCAGTACAAGTAATAAGTTCTTGTCCAATTTATACCGAGATATTAGATAGAAATAAAAACTTTTATATAAAGAAATAATCTATTTAAATAGATATTTTATTTATCCGCGATCTAAATTATATTACAAACTTTTTTAAATAAATCTCCCCCTCGAACAAAGTCTGGATTTTTAATAATAAATTATATGTGTCGTTATTATTTATACAGGGTGTTAATTCATTAATATGGTATATCTTTGGAAGATTTATAAAATATATAAATATACACGAAAGTTTGATATATGAAAATGTTAATTTTCAAGTTTATTTGTCAAGTTACGTACGAGCGATTTAACTTTACGTTAGTTAGAGCGAGACGGAGATAGAGATGGCGCTGCGGTCGAGATGCAATCTCGCTCTATCTCTCTCTCTCGCTTCATCATCGAAAACTTCAATTGCTCATAATTTAATAAACAAAAGCCTCGATAAATCTCGTTGATTTTTTATATTTTTATTTTTACAAAATCCATTTTCTAAAGTGAAAAAATATAGGAACATCCCTTATATCAAGATAAATAGAATTAATCTGTTCTGTTACTTAATATTCCCGAAGATCTATTTAAAATACGTTATATTGCTTATCACTCACTGATTAATTGTATATGTACAAAATTATGTACATATATTTTTTTTTTTTTCATTCAAACGTTAGCAAAATCTTGACGCATATCCTCTTCATCATATCGTCCAATCAACAATTAATCATTTAATTTCGAGTTAACCAAGCAATAAAAGCGAGCAAATCAGACAAGAACTTACAACTCATCCTGGTCTCTATCTCCCTTCATCCATCGTTTGAAATATTCGCGCCTCTTCCTATTCCCTTCCTCCGCTTGCGCCATTGTGACGAGAGATCTATGCCAGAAACGAGGCTGTCTTCGTTCGTACATATCGAGTTTTATCTCCGCTCGTAAACTTCGATTTCCAATTAACGATGTGCCGCTCACGATCCAAGGACGAGAGCCACGGTGTGAATTTCTTCTTCGCAATTCATGGGATGGGAACAGATTAGATAGATAGACGTCGCGATTGGTATTACAGAATCAACGTGGAATTTCTTTTTTCCCTTTTCTTTTCTTTTTTTTTATTTTTATTTTTTTTTTATTTTTTATTTTCTCGTTTCTTCAGAACGGGATCTAATTCAGTTTCTTTCGCTTCTTTGCGAGGAACTTCTGTGAGCAGATTGTTGCTGGGGAATGATCGATGAGGATCGAATGGGAAATCGGTGTTGGAGATTTGACCCTTTCGTTCATGGCAATGTTGATTGGAGAGATATTTGTTTAATTACGATTGCAATTGGTGAGATCGATTTTAATAGACAGAGAAAATAGGTAATTTTATCTCTTTTTATTATTTATCGAGGAGAATGATTTTTGTTTTGTGGCAACAAATAATAGAGGTATTTAATATTGGAACATTGCGGTTACGTAATATTCTCGTGACTGTTTGGTAACGTTTTTCTTTCGATGAAATTTTTACGGCCTAATTACGGTCGAGACATGGACTCCTAGAAGCCATGTATCTGATCGGTCAAAGATAAACAACATCGTGCATGCTAAATCTGGAATTGCGATTCTTTTCGGCATGAGTTTCATTCGTAATGGGGAAAGATCGATTGCTCGAACGTGAGATTGATATTAAAAGAAAGATAATACGAGCATTTTGGAGGATAGGAAAAATATACGTATAAATGTTTATAAGGTATAATATGTGTTTGGACAGGTTTATATATATATATATGAGGATAAAAGAAGTACATCAAAATTTATGAATCATGTACAAAATTAGAAAGAAAATTGGATTTAAAGGAGTTACAGACAAATTTTTGATTTTTGAAGCAAATATCAATCAACTTCAAAACTGCTTCATGATTCTTAAATCTTAAAAATTCTTGACTCGACGATATCAATCGTCTTTGTTTTCGAAAGATCGAAATATTTCACAAAAATACAAATTCGTCAGAAATGCTTCGAAATCGTGGTTCAAAGCGTAACAGCCGCGGGAAAAAAGGGTAGGATCGGCGAAACGAGCGTTGCATCGCGGAGGTCAGAGAGTTTTAGAGAGAACCCACGGTTGTTACGAGTACCGTCCAGGTAATTACACGTTCGCGATATTGCGTTACGTGC